AAGGATTCAATCGGAATATCAAGGAGATGCCCACTGGTCCCTCCCTGAGCTATCTGGATTAAGAGTTTGGGCACTATTGGTGAAGGAAAGTTGGTGATAGTCTGTAAAGTATATGCTGGAGTTTGGTTAACTCTGCAAGAGCAGAAGTAGGTAACGATAGCAACTTTGGCTTGCAAGTACTTGTCCTCGGACTCGGTATAAGTTACTGAAGTCTAGGTTAGCCAGATTGTGGGTATGGAAAGCTTTAGCTAACAACGCCTCGAGGATAAATCAGTTCTAAGAGTATCAGAAAAGCATCTGGGACTTCTTACGACAGGTAATTGTAGTGGAGATATACTGGTGATACAAGCTGGGTTTGCATATAAATGTACCAGAGTTCTATAAGTGAGCCTCTTACCTATAAACTTGAATAAAAACTGTAGCCCCAAAGAGGCTAGTTATAAAAAATAAAAAAATAAAAATAAAAATAAATAAATTTATCAAAACAAAATAATCATGCTATATTTAATATATAAACTTGGTTAAAGTAAAACCAACTAATAAATTAACTAATCAGTATTAATCGAATGTATTGGTTTTAGCTCTGCTAAGTTTGCATTATATATTAGGTTTATAAGAAGTACTTCTATATGAAAGTAAAACATCATATAATAACTCAAATATAATAATGATAGAATAAATATTATTAGTTATGCTGATTAAAGAAGTAAATTAACAGAAAAACACTTACCAAAATTGTATAGCAAAAATTTATTGTATATTATATGCTCTAAGAAAATTGAATAGTTATTGCCAGTATATAAATTTGAGATAGAAAGCAAATTATTATTTAAAACCTTTGTATAATTTATTAAATATTTGTATCTATATATAAAAATTATAATTTCTTACTAAATTTGTATCAAAGATTTTAAATACAGTATACAAATAAGAATTTCATAAAAATATATTTATTATAACATGTAAGCTGTTCAAGTTTTTGAGTATAATATTAAAGATTATACAGATGATCATGAAGCAAGTCTGCAGGAATTATTTGATCATTTTAATCAATTTATAGAATCTCTTCAAGAATCAGTTATAAGTTATAATTATCTGCCTGCTGATGCTATTTAATTGAACATAATAGAAATTCTGAATATAATAAATCAATTAGAGAGACTGAATATCTTGTTTCTGTAGATACAGATTTTCATAAATAGATGCAACAGTTTGGTAAAATGACTAGTATAACTTATACAATATTAGACAAAAAATATTATAAAGCAGAATATTAAAAATATCATTTTGTAGACTACTTACAAATGTTATTATTCAGAGACTTATCAATCTATAGTGAGTGAGTTAAGGCTATTCTAATAAAAGCCAAGACCTAATCAAAAAGAAAATAAAAAATATAATTGTAAATTGCAAATAATTATTACAATAAGACATATATTTAATGAACAACAAATATTTATAAAATATATTCTATATACTAACCATATTTCAGATTCAGATAGTGATATTGAAACCTTGAGAATCTCTAAGAAGATTTGTGAATAAATCGCTAAGTATATTTGAAATAAATTAAATATTAAAGGCATTAATCAGCTTGTTAAAAAATATGCTTATAATATAATAAATATGTTGAATTAATGAAATAAAAATAATGCAGTCCAAATTTATAATAATTTTATAATACATGATAATATATATAATATATAGAAAAAAATCAAAACTCTTTTTCCAACTCTTCCCGATGATCACTTGTACCAACCTAACACCGAAAGCAAGTTGAAGATTCAAGCCTAGAAGTCGACAACAACTTGAAGTTT